TTATCAAAGCATTTCTTAAAGAAATGTATTTTCATCATTTAACAAAATCACGGGATGTCATGTTCCGATACAAACACATAAGCATAAACAGAACTTACATTTATTTACACTAATGATTTGCATCTCCTTTAATCTCTTAGTGAAATAGTCTTCGTATCGATACCTGTGACAAAGAAAACTGAGTGGGTCAGGCTTGGGAGCCTGGTGAGTACATTGTGGGATTTCAATCAACTATAGCTGAATTAAAAGTGACTAACCTCTCGACCTGATCCATACTCCCGGATCTAAAACTAACCTCTCGACCTAATCCATACTCCCGGATCTAAAACTAACCTCTCGACCTGATCCATACTCCCGGATCTAAAACTAACCTCTCAACCTGATCCATACTCCCGGATTTAATAACAAATAACTATGTCCTGTCTATACTCCCGGACTAAGGACAACTAACTATGTCTTAATCCATACTCCCGGATTAATGACATATTATATGTCTTGTCCATACTTCAGGACTAAGGATAACTGACTATGTCTTAATCCATACTCCCGGATTAATGACAACTAACTAAGTCTTAATCCATACTCCCGGATTAATGACAATTAACTAAGTCCAATCCATACTCTTGGACTAGGGACGAATAACTATGTCAAATCAATGCTTCCGAATTAATGACATATTTTAAAGTTCTATTCTCCGTATATATCTCACTCGTACTCATAAAGAGATACTACCCCATAACCATTATAACCAATCTTAGGTTTACTCTTTAACCTAAGTTATCATAAACAATCAGGTATGTTCTTTAACACTTAATTCAGACATCATCAAATAACTCACACAAAACATATATTTAATACATTCAAACAATACTTGTATTAAAATCATGTTCATGAAAGGGACTATGCACTCACTTGATAAGACGATGCTCGGACAACACTACGGCTCTTAAAGTGATATTCTTCAATGAAACCGAAATGTTTTCTCAGAAACCGGACTTCTCGCGGGCAAAGTTTCGGCTCGAAAACTCTTTTCTTCTCGGGATCCTTGGAGCTTCGGAACTCGCCTAGGGTCTCGGGATGATACCGGGGCATCGGGGGTACTTCAAGAAGGCTGAGAGTATCGGGAGAGAGAGAGAGAGAAAAGATGGAGCAACCAAGAGAGAGAGAGAGAGAAAAGATGGAGCAACCAAATTCGACTGACCCTCGATTTATATTTATAGGGCCAATATTCAGTACTCACGTCGTGAGTTTCCAATGCTCAAGTCATGAGCCTAGTAGGTCACTGCGTTCGTCACTCGTCCACTTGCTCTGGAAGACGTCAATCACCTGCTCACGCCGTGAGCACTGTGCTTAACTTACCGAGATTTAATGATTGATCTTATTTATAGGTCCATAACAACGACGTATGACTACAAATATAAGTTACACTGAAAATGGGAGAGTGTAGCTTAACTTATCGAGATTTAAGTGAAAACCGGGAGAGTAAGCGGACCGAACTCCGAGACCGAAAGTTCTACATTCTGAACACCTCGAACCCTCAAAACTTTACTAAACACTCTGAAGAAAATCCCAAAAGCCGGGCTCAATGAATGCTAGAGAGAGATTGGATGAATGTGTGAGTAAATGAAATGAAAATGAGGGATATATATATATATATATATATATATATATATATATATATATATATCTATATAATATATATCTATATATAATATATATTATCTCTAGCAGCGGATGCGCGCTGCGCACTAGGGCTGTGTTGGCTCCTGCGCTTGCCGGCCACGTGTAGCTCACCGGTTCTCTCACCTCACACCCTTCTAGAATGTGACACGTGTCACACTCTCGTGGTGCCACGTGTCATGCCCATATTATGCCACGTCATCGCGCCTCTTGGCGGAAAGGAAGAGTCGGCTTGCCATGTGGTGCCCTCTGGTGCCGCCACGTCATTACCGCGCGTTGCGCATTGCTCGAGCCCGATGTTCCAGATTTGTTTAAAATGACGTAACTTCTTCATACGAGCTTCGTTTTCGACGTTATTTATTGCCGGAAATCTCTTGACGAGATCTTCAACTTTCCGCTAGACCTCAACATCTAATTCTCACTCTATCAAAAATTTATATTTTTGATAGGCTTAGCCTGTTAGAGATCACTGCAGAAAACATAACTCCTATATACAGACTTCATTCTCGATGTTCTTTACATCGACGAACTCCTACGAACGAGATTTTCGATTCTCGTTTAGATTACTTTGCCTAATAATCTACCTTTCTAAAAGTCGATATCTGTGCGCACACTATTGTGCTGAAACTTAGAAAATCATAACTTCTTCTCTTGAAGTCAGATTTGGACATTCTATATACGCACGAATTCGCTTTAACGAGAACTACGACTTTTGTTTATATTACTAAGGCTAACGAGTTATATATCTAAAATTCGAATTTCTAATTTCTATTAATCGTTAATATTTACCGAAACGATAAAATGGGGTGTGTTATGTATGTTATCTATTATATATATATATATATATATATATATATATATATATATATATATATATATATATATATATTGATTATGTAACTATACTGGTATTTATAGTGTATGTTATCATATTTGAGTAGGATATGACTTAGGGTTGTGATCATACACATTTTATGTTTGTGTAGGATATTGCGTAGGGTTGATTCATACATATTTCACCATTTTGAAATGCATAAATATGTTCAAAATACATATGAAATGGTTATAGATGTACGTAAACGCCATACTAGTAAAAGTTTAAAACAAATTAACGATAGTTTTTATGAATTTTATGGTTTTATAATATAGTTTTGTTATTTATATTTTGTAGATTAAGATTAAATTGCACAAAAAATCACTATATTTTTTTTATAACACAAAAGTCGTTAAATTTTAGTTTTTTTCCTTCTATTTTGACACTCAATATTACATCATCAAGGAGTTTTACGTATGCATGTCGCTCCAACACCACACCGTCATGTCATATTAGAGAGCCACTTCATTAATAAGTGACATGTCAGCTGATAATTAGTAATCAAGTAATTGGTCTAATTGGACAAAATTGAAAAACAATTACAATAGTGTTAAAATTAAAAAAATAAATAAAAATTTAATGTCTCTTGTCATATTTACCTAAATGTTAAATATACAAAATGTGACTATTAAAAATCTAAACATCAAATAATTAGTTATTAAAAATCTAAATATAAGATAGTTAATTGTTAAGTGATAAACCCTTTATGCATCTGTAGATATTTATTAGGTTTGTCATTTGTGTATCACGCTATTCTATCATGTGTCATTTGCAACGATGTGTCACTATTCTTAAAACTAACAAAAAATTGTACAATAAATATCTTTGTTAATGTACAAAAATGTCCCTAAACTAATGAGCAGTTCAATCTCCCTAACTAATAAACGAAAGTAAATTGTCACGTGTCCCTTCAAAAACACTAATTTCATCAAATGTTAAATACCGTTTTTGCCCCTTTTTGATTTCATCTTCTATAATGTCCAGGTCAAAATAAATCAGCATTTAATATCCAATTTAATTTTATGGTATTTATGGTATATGATATCTATTTAAATTTCAAAATAAATCAGCATTTAATATCCGATTTTTATGGTATTTATGGTATATGATCTCTATTTAAATTTAATTTAATACGTTTGAAATAGATACCCGATTCAGTCCTCCAATTTTAAATAATCAATACAAAAAGTTTTAAACAAACTTAACTCTTATTAATAATATAAATGTTTTATAAATTCTTTACCCATGGTTCCCACGGGTTGTAACCTAGTAACTGCATTATAATAATATAGTTTGACCAAAATATATTCCTTTCAAACAATTGATTCTATCAAAGATTTTGCTAAACTCATTACGTGCTAAAACGTAGCCATATTTAGGGAGACAAGATAGTCATTTTATCCTCATAATCTTTCTCTTTTCTTGTTACTCTTTAATTTAAAAAACAAACATAAATAAGTTGTATAATGCTGCTTTAAACATTATATTTCAGGAGTCAAATACATAGAGTTGGTTTCTGCTGAAGCATTTATTGCAATCGACAAAAGTTTGCACAAAAGAAAACATTAAAAAACCATAAAAAGTTCTTAATGCTTTTGACTATTGTTAACATATATATTTCCTTTTTTTTTTGAACCAGCAAAATCTAAACATCAGATAATTAGTTATTAAAAATCTAATTTTCTTTTTAATCACATAATTAGTTATTAAAAATCTAATTTTCTTTTTAATTAGTCACGTGTGTAAACACACATGGCTGCATAAGTAATGCCAAATTTATAAATAATCATCACCAAAGTTCCTTAATAGGCTGTAAACATGTTATTGATTTAGGGGCTGTTTCATATGTCTTTATTAGATTTAGAAGTTGTGGTTCACTAAGTCATATTTGGACCGTTTGATACCATAATTAGCGGGGTCTAATTCTTTCCTATGACCTCTGATATGCCTTTTATTAGGTTTGATAAAAAGTTATGTCTAAGTCAATCAGACATTAAATTAATAAGATTTGACTTAATGAATAATTATCAACTTTAATCTTAACGGTAGTTAAGCTGTAAACTTGTGTTTTTCCATCTCTTAATATCATTTTGTTCCATTGTAACTTTATCAATCAATAGTTCCATACCACAAAGTATTTTATTTTCATTATCTTATATTTGTAAACTATAAAAATATTAAAATTAACTCTGTAATTTACAAATTGTAAAACAAAACTGAAAATGAAAGTTTCAAGGGACCTCAACGACATATATTCAGAAAGACAAGGCATCAATTTTCAAATCCAAACAAAATTTTAACAACCATGATTGAAAAAGGATGATCATCAACCAAAACCCATCGCAATAGGAAACGACGAAATAGTTACAAGAAAACCACAAAGGGTAAAAGTAAAAATAGTCGAATTTATGACATTTACACACACATATGACACATACACATACATATGCATATAAACCATCAAGGCTGCTTGATTAAATCTTCTGTTCTTCCAAGACTTTATTGTGGGTGTGGAGGAAGAACAGAAAAGATAAAGATACAGAAAGGATCAAACTTTTTTCTTTCTTTTCTATGTGCTGTGCCTTGTGGGTTACTCTTCTCAGAAGGTTCTTATCTATCTGACTGATTGACGCCCTTGCGTATTTAATAATAATATTCTTCCCAAGAAAAAGAACGATCACACAATTTCATTATTTTATTCATACAATTTTAAGATATTATTAAAGAGAAAGTGTTTCGTGATAGACTTGTTTTTTCTTGGCCAAATTCGAAGTAATTCCTTTTGTTCTGTTTTCTTCCTTGGCTTCACGTTATCGATTGCATTCCCTCTATTTATCGCACTGCTATTTCATTAAATTCATCGTTGGAATCTAGTGTATATAAGTATAGCTCATTCAATTTCTTCCTTTTCTGTTTCTGGGTATTCGTTTATTTTACTAAATCAGTCCGATTTCTTTACAATTTGGAAGGTTTGAGTTTTAATTTCCATAAAGTTAGGGTTCTTTTGACAGAATCTTTCTGGTTGGTGAGTATTAGGGTTTTTATTTTTCACAATAACTTCGTTGGATTTTTTCTCTTTTTGGAGTTTACATTACTTTTCTGGATTTTATCGGTGGGTGTTGATTTTTTAGGGTTTAATTAAGATTTGAACTTAAATCGCCTTGCAGATTTCATTCATGGTAAAACAATAGCTGGATGTTATCCAACTCGGTGAGGGCATATTCGTCTTTTTCAACTCCCTAATTCATGATTTCTGATTGAGTTTGGAAATCATTCGGAGAAGATGAGTTCAAGTGGCGGTGGTTTGGAAGGGGTTATACAAAGGGGAAAGCTTATAGTCCATATTGCCGAAAATGGCCATTCATTTGATCTCAATTGTGACGAATATACCCTTGTTGAAGCTGTTCAAAGGTACCTCGAATCACTTTCAGGGATACCCTTAAACGACCAACTCCTTTTATATCTAGACATGAAATTAGAACCCCAACAACCACTTTCTGCATACAAACTCCCTTCAGATGATGGAGAAGTGTTCTTGTTTAATAGAGCCAAAATGCGTACAAATTCAAACCCACCACAACCAGTGCACCTCGAAGCACCTGATCATATCCACCCAAACCCAGCAAAACCATCATCATCATCCCATGAACCTCACCCATTAGATGAAGCTTCAGATCCTGCCCTAAAAGCATTACCTTCATATGAAATACAATTCAGGTACCATTATCAGCTAGGAGATGCAATTTACCGACGTACCCTTTTGAAATATGAAACCTGTGAGCGGCTTTCAAGGGAGCAAAGGGTACAAGAAAAGGCATTGGAAATTGCCAGGGGTAATTTGGACCATATTTATAAGATGATCCTCCATAACTACAATGATTTTGTGAAACGTTATTCGCATCAGCAAAGGTCACATTCGAATCTTTTGGTGAACTTTTGGAGGGATTTGGAGAGATTAAGGAATGTCAAACTTCTTCCTGCTTTACAGAGTGATAATCGCAGGTGTTTATCGGATTTTGTTAAGGAAGAAAGTTTGAGAAAAATGGTGGAGGATTGTGGTAATTCTCACAGGCAGTTTGAGATTAAAGTTGGTGACTTTAAGCAAGAATTTAGAGAGCTAAAGGGTAGTACTGAACTTTTGTTCTCTAGTGAAGCTTCTATTATTAATAGAGATCTTGAAAGAACTATCAAGGAGCATAGACAATATATAAATGAGCAGAAAAGCATAATGCAAGGTTTAAGGTCAGTAATTTCTACCATGGAACTTGTTACATGTAGATATATATTTAGTTTGGCAAAGTTTTGAGATATCTACGTGTTAGTTTTTTTGTACAAAGTTTTGGTGTTAGGTAGATTGTATGATCAGTATATATTTGTTTGCTACATTGCATATTAGTTAAATGCCTAAACTACCCTTCAATGATAACAACATAGGGGTATTTGGTGAACTTAGTTAATGGCATTATGAGAACTCGCAAATACGTAAATTCAACATGAAATTTTTCCCAAAGGTAAATGTTGCAATTTTTATTGGAAATCTTAAAGTGGATTTTGTTGCGTTGTTTGTAATTATACCATGAATATTAGAAACAAAACTTTTGTTACATGGAATAGTAATAACAAAAGGGACACCATGGCAATTTGCACACCAAATAGAATAAATATATTTCCTTTTTCCTCAAAAAGTTATCAACTTTTCTTTATAAAGATTCATCCTCAAAAGGACCCAATTTTTAGTTTTGAAAACTGTCCCTCAAAAAAGTCCACTTTTGGTTTTAAAGATTCAATTTCTTGTTTTCACTCCATTTTACAATTAAAACATTCTCATGTTTTTGGATGCAAATTAATGCAGCAAAGATGTCGCCATGGTAAAGAAGCTCGTAGATGAATGTTTGACCAGTCAACTCTCCAGTTCCCTCCGACCCCACGATGCTGTGTCAGCATTGGGCCCCATGTATGAGGGCCATGAAAAAAACCATCTTCCAAAAATGCATTCATGTGAGCGTGCTATTTCAAACCTATTTACATTCTGCAAGGAAAAAAAATCAGAAATGAATACTTTCGTACACGAATACATGCAAAAAATTGCATACATTCAGTACACAATAAGAGATGTTAGGTACAAATTTTCGGTTTTCAATGAAGCAATAAATCGTCAAAATGTTCAATTTGAACAATTAAAAATTGTTCGTGGGATAGGGCCCGCATATCGCGCGTGTCTTGCTGAAATTGTAAGAAGAAAGGCATCAATGAAACTTTATATGGGAATGGCTGGACAGCTGGCAGAAAGGCTTGCAAATAAAAGGGATTCTGAAGTTAGGAGACGTGAAGAATTTATTAAAATTCATAGTTTATATATCCCGAGAGATGTTTTAGCATTAATGGGGTTGTATGATATGCCAAGTACATGTGATGTGAATGTAGCCCCATTTGATGGGAATTTACTAGATCTTGATATTTCGGATTTGGACCGTTTTGCCCCTGGGGAGTTAGGTGGGATTTCTTTTAAAAGTTCTGTGGATGGAAATGAAGAGTGTGATGAATCTGAGGACTTTATTGGGATTTCCGGGACAAGTAAAATGGAAGTTGAAAATGCAAAGTTGAAAGCTGAACTTGCTTCTTGTATAGCCATGCTTTGTTTTTACCCCATGGATGTAGAAGCTGAATGTTGGGACGAGGGTAAAATGGACATTTTACTTAAAGATGGGGCGGAAAAGACGGCTGAGGCGTTACGTTTGAAAGATGAATACGGGAAACAGTTGGAAGCAATTTTAAAAGAGAAACACATTCAGTTTGAGTTGTATGAAAAACGGATAAAGGAATTGGAAGGAAGGTTATCTGATGAGTATTTATTAGAAGAAAATAAACTCGATAAAAATGATTCCTTTTCAATTGGGAAATCTGAGATTTCAGGTGATGGGGAAGCTCATATGGATGAGGGTTCATATGGTTATAATTCATCGGGAATCTTGAATCCTCATTTGGATTCGTCCATGCGGGACCCACATCGGGATGTGAATGAAAAAGACGAGAAAGAGGAACAGGCGCCAGATGTCGGGATGCCATTGGTTGGAAGTTCTACAGCTGACAACATGGTACAACTTCCAAAAAATGAGGGAGGTGAACATGGGAAGATTGGGGATCGTGTGATGGAATTGCAGAATCTTCTAGAAGAAAAGTCAAATGAGTTGACTGAAGTCGAAGCTAAACTTCAGGCTGCAATAGAGGAGGTAGGAACGCTTGGTCGGGATTTGGAAATTAGCCGGAAGCTTCTAGATGAATCTCAGGTAATGTCTGTATAACCTAATTCCAAATTTTGTGTCCTTTTTTTAAGGTTTGAGAATTTATAAATCAATTTTTTTTTTTTTTTTTTTTTTGAAATTGGTAATTTTACAGATGAATTGTGCACATTTAGAGAATTGTCTTCATGAAGCACGAGAAGAGGCTCAAACTCATCTTTGTGCAGCCGATAGAAGAGCATCCGAGTATAACGCATTGCGTGGGTCCACCTTAAAAGTTCGCAGCCTTTTCGAACGTCTTAAAACATGTGTCTCAGCAGGTGGCATAGCTGGTTTTGCTGACTCACTCAATTCTTTAGCTCAATCTCTTGCCACGTAAGTCAAAATTTCACATTTATCTAAACCGTTTGGCTTAAATATAACCCTATTTTTTTTTTTTTTTTATTTAATATAATTCTCAGTTCTGCAAACGAAAATGGGGATGATGGTACTACTGAATTCCGCGAATGTGTTCACGTGCTCGCTAAAAAAGTCGGTATTTTAACACGACATCGAGCCGAGCTTATTGACCGATACACAAAAGCCGAGGCATCTCACGAACAGCTTACAAAGGAGTTGGAAGAAAAGAAAGAACTGGTCAACACTTTATACATTAAACACCAATCCGAAAAACAGGTTATTTTTTAAATTTTTTGTTCATATTTGACTTATAATAATAAACTCGAATAATAAAACTTTGGTTTACTTTTTGAACCAGGCTAACAAGGAAAAGATATCTTTTGGGCGTTTAGAGCTCCATGAAATTGCTGCATTTGTGCTCGATAAATCCGGCTACTACACAGCAATAAACAGGAACTGTAATCATTACTATCTTTCTCAAGAATCAGCCGCCTTGTATGCCGACAACAGCCGCCAGCAGCCCCCCTACATTGTGGGACAGATTGTGCATATTGAGAGACAAATTGTGAAGGAGGTTAATAGTGGTGATGGAAACCCGTATGGTTTAGCAGTTGGGTGTGAGTTTTTTGTTGTCACGGTGGCGATGTTGCCGGAAACCGCCGTTCCCCCGCCACCTGCCGCTGCTTCCTGATCTAAAATGTCCGGTGGAGATATGATGGAAGAAATGTGAAAGATGCGGGAGGAAGTGTATATATATATATATATATACTACTTGACTTGTTGATGGAAATTTTATGTTTGATCGCTTTCTCCCACTTATTTGTATATAAATTCTCTCTTTATATAAAAAACTTTGTATATATTATCTTTTGATGTCTATTGTTTCGTAACATAATGTTATATATCTGTTAAAAGGCCAAAAGTAACGCTAAATATTAATGTGAATATAACTGTTTTTTATGTATGGTTTCATTAAAAATATTAAATAGATAATTAAAATATACCCTTTGTTGGAAATAGAAAAAATCTAAACAACATCATAAAAAAAGTTACGTCATTACAAGAATAAATGTTTTCTTTTTAAAGACAAGAAAATTAAAATCTTTTCAAGTAGTTGGGCCCAATGATTGTTGTTTGAAAATGAATAAATTATATCGGGCCGGGCCTACAGGATGGAAAACTATAAATAGCATCTAAGCCCTAGAAACCTCTTCATTTCTCTCAGTCTTGAAATTTCTCGTCCAATTTCTTCCCCAAATTTACGAAAATCCATCTGTTGATTCGCCGATGTTTTCTTTCCTGACCCTTCTACATCGATATTTGGTTTTGATTCTCTAATTTATCCGGTGAGTTGTTATTCATTATCTTCGGATTTTTAAATCGAATTAGGATCGGAAAATTAGGGTTTGTTTGTGATTTGTCGATGGTTCTCTTCGTGTTTTCGGGTTTTGAATTGCTTGTACGATAAACGATCAATTGTAACTTACTATAAAGAGAGTGACGTATTCTGTTCTGTCTGTACCGCGTAACACGAGAATTCCAGCTAGGGTTTGCAGCAATTTTTAGCGTCTTTTATTGCACATTTCATCTTTCATTTTACAGAAGTAGAACAAACGAATCTTTATTGCACATTTGGATACACGTTCTCCTTACTTCAATCGATTATAAACCTAAAAATATGTCTAATTGTGCTGAGCGCATGGGAGTTTGAATTAGCTTACACTTCGGATTTGCCATATAATTTGTGCAGGATACCATGTATCTGTGCTCACATTGCTATATCAAGTGTGTCTTCGTTACCCAATTTAAGGTCAAATTCTTGTCACTCTGCGACATTTTGTTTTTAGGTCGTTTTTACTTTTTTTTTTTTGAAAGAGTTAGGTCCTTTTTACTTGATATGAAATGAATGAAAATGTTAATAATGGGTTCCACCTGCTGAAATGAGGATGAAGAATGGTGAAAAATGATAAAAATGAACCATAGCTAGCTATAGTTGCTGATTAATATGACAGTATATTTCTAGTTTATTTATTTCAATGGGCTGCTATAAGTATCTGATATGTGTCTATAAGTTCATTTGTAACATCTATAGCACATCCATGCAGTGCTTTCTTCAGGACTACAACCATGGTGAAATTGGGAGAAGGGTCTTGTGGAGATAAGCATGGTGGCAAGGATGACTCAAAGACAAATAAAAAGAGATCTGTTTACAATTTGAGGAGTAAAGATCCAAAACCTGAAGGCTCTATGGGTCCTCCAACTTATAATCTGAGGAATAAAGTTCAGAAAACTGAAGGCAAAAATACTTCTAAAGTTACCCAAAATAAGAAAACCCCAAAAAAGAGTGGCTCTAAAGATTCTTCACCTGCTACACAGAGGAGGGTAGTTTCGGAAACTGAACTCAAAAGAACTTATCCAAAAATTCCTCCATTCCCAAGTACAGATATTGGAAGTAAAAAACCTTTAACTACATCCATGGCTGACCATGACAAGAATCAACCTTCTTCTAGTCAATTGGAACCATTCTTCCATGATCCAGTTTATCATATCAGATGGGAAGGTATGTCCAAAAGATTTCCTTTTTTTTTTTTTTTTTTTTTTTTTTATTTTATCATATTACTTGTTTTATGTGGGTTTAGGGTTTAGTTGATTGACTGAAACTATGCTCTCAAATCATAGGTTATGAACTGGGAAGTGGGCATTGTGGACAGATCTGTGTATTATGCAATAAGGATCTTTCTTCTTCAATAGAATCTGATTCTGATGATGATGAAGAATCTGAGTATAATGAAGATTCCTTATATGGTGATGATGATGATGATGGTGGTGGTGATTATGGTTATTTTGATGAACGTGCACCTCCTCTTCTTCCAATTGTTGATATTTTGGCATGTGGGCATGCATTCCATACTGAATGCTTGAAGAATGGTGCACATGATGAAGAATCAGGTGATCCCATTTGTGTTTTGTGTTCAAGGATGGCTTGAAGAAGAAGTTAGTCATTTTCTTCTTGGTGAAGGGATCCAATTGTTTTTAGTGTAGGTGATAGAGAGTATATAAACACTGCAAGTGGCATGTTTGATTGATAATGTGCCATTTTTTTCACGTATAGATTTGTTTTGTAGATTTTGAAGACTTAAATGTGGTTTTGGATGTTTTATTTTGTTTTGGCCTTTTGGTGGTGTTTGATTTATTTTGTTATACATGCGATGTGTGAATATTTATGGCTAGGGTACATGCAAGATTTTGTACCATATATAGAAGATTAAAATGTATGGAGATATGAAGTTTAGGGTATAAATATGGAAATATAATGTATGGAAATATGGAAATATGAAACCTAGGACTACTTAATTGTCACTCGAGTATGAAGGCATTAAAAACTATTTTTTCGTGACTTAGACACTCATTACCATGATCTTTATATTTTTGTATTGGGATTTTCTAACATGTGCCTAAGGTTAGGGCACATATAAGAAACATTAATTATAACAAATATTACTATAATTAAATATGAAATACATTAATTATAAAGATTATTACCATAATTAAATGTGAGATACATTAATAATTTCCATAATAAATGCATTTCATATTTAATTATGATAATATTTTTCATAATTAATGTTTCTTATATGTGCCCTTAGGGCACATATTAGAAAATACCTTTTGTATTACATATAATCAAACTTGTAAGGATGTTAAAACAAGGATGCGTGTGAAGGAGTTGTGTTTTTTTGGGTTTATTTATTCAAAAGTTTTCCTACAACGTTTGTTCTGCAACAAATTTTGTATGCTAAAGCTCTAAGATTTTCTAATATGTAATTATTGTTAGACCTTGAATTTATTGTATTTAATCCCTCCTTACCGTTAATATTATTATCAGTCGTTACATTTAATGGGGACCAACAAAAAGTTGTATAGTATTTATTGTCGTATTAAAGTACTTAAAATGACACGTTTAGGGTGTTAGGCAACAAATGGGTCTACAAATTGAAGATTGGAGAGAGCATGTTTTGAGCACAAAGCTAGATTGACGGTCAAAAGAGTTTAGTCAAAGAAAGAGTATTGATTTTGATAAGATTTTTTCTCCAACCATAAAGTTATGTGTGATTCTTGGTTTAGCTGCTAGTCTTGATTTTGTGGTTGAGCAAATGAATGTTAAAGACTTTTCCTTTATGGTGACTCAAATCATGATATATACATGGAGCAACCTAAAGGCTTTCATGTTAAGGCCAAGGATAATTTGTGTGTAGACTTTCGAAATTCTCTGCAAGTTAAAGCAATCACCAAGATAGTGGTATAAGAAATTTGAGCCAGGGAGAAAGGCTACCAAAAGACTACTTTAAATCACTATTGTTTTTTAGAGGGTTGGTGATAATGAATTGATCATTTTATTGATATATGTTAATAACATGTTAATTTTTGGCAAGAATGCATAGATAAATATCATACCGCAAAGAAAATTAAGCAAATCTTTTGTTACGAACGAGTTAGGGTTAGCAAAACGTATTCTTGGCATTCATAACACTCAATATACAGCTTCCAAAAAGTTGCACATGTCACAAAATCAATACATTGAGAAGTTGTTTTACGAATTCAATATGGATAAAGCTACATCGGTTAGTTCACCTTTTACTAGATATAGATTTATCCTCTTCTAAGAAGGATATTAAATAGATGTATCGAGTTCCTATGTCTAAACTGTTGGAAGTTTGTTGTATTTTATGTTGTGCACAAGTCCTAATATTGCCCATGTAGTAGGTGTTGTGTAACATCCCAAAAATCATAGAAATTTAAATTTTTTAAAAACAACCCATTAACCATAAAGTGTTTACAAAAGCCATTGTTTCAAAAGTAAATCATAATCAAAGTATCCCAAGATCCAATATCATAAAAACAAAAAGATGTGCACGATCACGCCTTCGCTTTCCCATGATCCTATGAAGTACCTAAAATCGTAAGCCAAAACTTAGTGAGTTCCCCCAAAGTACCATCACACAACATAACAAACAATAGCATTCAAATATGAGCCTTCAACCTGACTGGACCGCCTCGCAGGGCCTACAGCCTATCTGGACCGCTCTACGGGCCTTCGGCCTGACTGGACAGCCTCGTAGGGCCTACGGCCTATCCGGACCGCCTCGGGTATCTTGGCCTTCAACACAAAGCAAGACCGCCTCAACCCATCCACAATATGTCGACATATACAACAGATAAACGTAAACACATATCCAACAAATACAACTAATCATACAAATTTACTAATCTATCATATAACTAGCATAACATCATCCTATATACCATGATACATATCCTAGTGAGCCGGCATTAGTGCCTTCGACCCACACGTACAGTGAGGAAAACTCACCTCTCAGTCCGAACAAATTGTTGAATAGGTATCTGCTCTGAAGATCAGCTCTACCCGTCACCTATTCATCAAATAGTGACCAATCTCAAATACAACTCAAAATACCCTTATGTCAAACTTGGTCAAAGTCAAGGTCAACTATAACAGGTCGCCACACCGTGGCCATCCTTGGCCACGCCGTGGCCAATAAATGATAAAACAGGTGAGTCTTAGCCCAGCCGCCACGCCGTAGAAACCTAGGCCACGCCGTGGGCACTGGGCTCCCAACAGCTTAACCGATTAAATCGATTTCCTTGATATTAAGGACTCCACAGCCCAGATCTGGTCCACTCTAAGATCCAAGTGAATAAAGTTTCCAACTTTATCCTTTTAGACTCTCTAAGGGATAGAGATCCCATTTCTAGATCTAAATAGGGAAAAAAACATAACCTGGCTTAGCCCATTAACCACTTTCTCTTGAAGACTACTAGATCCCCATTTCCAGAATGTTTCTAGCGTGAAATAACAACATAAAAATCCTTACTTTCTAAACATGCATGTCTAATGCATGTATTGGACTATATTAGGTCAAAATGAGAGTTTTTGGCCAAATCTTCCATGCATGATGCTAAAACTCAATATTACTCCAGATCCAAAGCATTAAAGGCCCAAAATGACATGGAGATTCATAAAGTTGCAAACTTTATGAGATCTCACCACTCGATGACCAAGGACATGAAGATTAAGGCATAGAAACCTAGATCTATACACAACAAACCAAAAAGCTTGGAACTTGGGGACTTACAAGAGTCCAGAAGATGCACAATAAGATAGTGAGAAGAGTTGCTTGCTGAATCCAAGACTAGAAGTTACCTCCTTCTTCTTCTAATCCCCAAAAATCAAAACAAGAAGCTTAGAGAGCAAAAATGGAGATTAGGGTTTGGTTGGAGGATGAGTGAGTGTGATGGAGGCTAAGGGTGAGCAACCCTAGCCATCACATTCCCTTAAATAGGGTGCAAACCCCGAATATTAGGGTTTCTCATTAAACAGCTGTCACGCCGTGGCCATAAGCTGTCATGCCATGGCAGTTGTATAAAACTCGCGATACATTGACCATCACCACGTCGTGGGATGCCTTCACCACGACGTGGTAGCCCAAAATCCAAAATACATTAGTTTTAAATACCTCAAAGAATCCGGATGTTATGGAAACCAATGCTTGTTGGGTTGCTACATCAAACATACAACCCATGTTTGTCACCAAAACTTGAAGTTAGAGAACAAAAAATGGGTTAACCCTTATAATAATCAAAGGTCTTCACTGAATGGAGTTTGAGAATATGGTGAAGGTTGGTGGTTTGTATAATGTAACAAATGGGACGATGTGGATGGATAACGGAGAAACCAAAGATTAAGCCAAAGATTAGACAAAGACACTCTCCTAAAGAGGATGGGGAGAAGATAAGGTTGTCCGCATATGATGAAGGTGAATGGGTGGGTTTATAATAATAATAATAATTAATCTTAAAAATTATAAAATAAAGGTAAAATGTTAACCTCATAGTGTCCTAACTAGAAGCTAACAAACTTGAGGGACCAAATTTTAAAAGAAATCCCATAATAAAAACCACTTTTAAGAAAACATTCATTTACATATCAATCAATGTTGAAGGTTCAGTAAGAAAAAATGTAAATTTAAAAGTAGGATTAGAAAATTTTGTACGTTAGCAGTTCAAAAAGGGGGGAAAAAAGATAACGTAGTGAGATTCACCAAGTCGCACCAGTTTTTTTATTTTTTCGAAATGGCCATTTATTGATATGCGCAAGGAGCAAGGGGAGAAAAAGAACAAGATCAAACAGAGTTTACAAATCAACAATTACATATCAAGAAGAACCATTATAGAAAAAAGGAGAGCTATTCCACTCATCCCAGCTAAGTTGTTTTCATCAAAATTGCAAGACAAAAGCAAGTGATATATTGACTCTGCCTTGATTCAACAAATAACACATGAACTGGATCCAATGAGCTTGTATGCATGTGATTTGGTCATTGATAATTGGAATTTATTTGTCGGGACAATAATAAACGAATATGGTTGTCACTTGTCACCTCATGTCACTTTGAAATATTAAAAAACTAATGATTTATATTCAATATAGCTTTGAACATATCAATCTTGTTCAATCTTGTTCAGTATACTTGATATTTTTTTTTTGGAAAGTAACATTTTTTATTTATATATAGAAAATTATATTTTAAAAGATTATATAATACTACTACAAAAAAACATATCATTATTTTGTAGAAATCAACAAGTGTCGTGTATAAATCGCTTTCTCTTCTCTCCTCAAAACAAACAAAAAAACAATACAAAATGAAAACCAACTAGTTCAAATAGGTATCAAGACGATATTTAATTTGTCATTATGATTACTTCAAACATGTAGCTCGTCATAAATATCTTTTTCTTGAAGCCTTTAAATATCTAACACATTCTCCTATTGTCGTATTTATGATATGTGCCATTCAATCATTTTCTATTAATAAACTTCTTGTATTAAATTACAGTATACGTGTATGTATGTAAATAACCTAGAAATGGTAGTTGCACTTACACATATTAGTGAATTACGAAGAGAAACTTAACTATTAGTGACAGATATAGAGAGTAATTTATACATTTATACATAATGTATAAAGTTAACCATTTGTATACCACAATAGCATATTATCATCCACTCAACACCCACTCGTATTACCCATTTACCCCCTTCATCTTTTCTTGATTCTCACCTTTAACCCATCTTTCATCCTCATCGTCAACGAC